CACAACGCTAGTGAACTTTTAACAGGGATCCTCTTCAATGCTGACATTTTAACATAACTGGCTCATGCACAATGTGTTTCTTTAGCACGGAAATAATGAAGAGGGACATATACCATATATAAATATATGTATGTGTATACACCATTTATGTTTCACGTATGCATGAACACTCTTAAAGTTCCCTCAAACTTTTTGTTCTTTATATTTAAGAGCCATTATTCACTGAAGAAAGCAACAGCAGTTCTTGGAACAGATAATGTTGTTGCAATGAAGTGTAGTAAAAGGTAAGACATACCACGCGTATCAAGAATGTTTTGTTGCACTTAAATTTCTCTGACGCAATATGTCTTTGGTTCTGTTTCCTAATGGGAATCCCATTTTGTAAAATGAACTCTGACTGTCTTGGACAAAAGTTGCTGTTCATAAAAACAGGGTTCAGTTTTACAAGTTCTTTTTGTAGGTCTTTATTCAGGTCACTTTAAGTAAAAAGTGGCTGTTGTGCCTGAGGAAAAAATGGAGTAAGAACTATTGAACTCTCCTAGCTATATTCTACAATCTCATTACTTATTTACCTCTAGAAGATGGTGCTCTTTGGTGTGAATCAAAGTGGCAGAAAGTGTTTTGGGCAGAGAATGGGACTGGGTGCTTTTACCACCTTCTGTGCAAACAGCAGTGCGTTACTCAGCCATTTCAGGAAATGTGGAGAAAAAAACCAATGTGGGATAAGATAGGTAGGTAGATAGATTCCTCCTTTCTTAACTCAGCCTTTCCAGGGGTGTGATAATTTTCCGGGTGCTCCTACATGTAATACATTAGTCTGGTTAGGGGCAGTAGCAGCTGAAGAGCTTGTGGTGGGCTGGGAGGCCCTTGCTCGTATCAGAGTCCCTCCTTGGGGTGCAGGTGGGAGTGCAAGAGACCTGCCTTTGCTTTCCAACCAAAACGATTCACACAAAGGGATTTGGGTGTGCTGGAGCAGATGGTGGGGTACTGACCTCTTAAGCTAGGGCAGCCTTGGCTGGAGTCTTGTCTTCTGAGCTTCTGTCCCACTACCATTTTCAGTCTGCCTGAATTATTTTCATTTTAGACCTCTGCTGTTTTGTTTAGAAGGTTATTTTCCTCCTCACTGGAAAGTGACCTTTTGCCCTCTGCATAAGTCTAGTGGAACAGATGCAGTAGCGGTTTTAAGGAGAGGTTTACAGACATATTTATTTTCTATTCATTGCTCTTGGAATATGTGCAGGGCTTTAGGGCAGACCTTTTTAGTGCTGCTTCAGGCTTTTTCTTGTTAAAAGAAAGTTTAAGTTGCATTTCATTGGAGAGAAAAAAAAATTCCAATATCCACACCACCTATTACCGAATTCTTCATTATTTCCTGGCATTGTCAAAATGCAAACTGGGAGTCTTGCAGGAGGAAAACCTCTCACCTTGCTCTCTTTACAAACTGTGTGATGCTCAGTGTGCTGTCAAGCTCTGGTGAGAAGCATTCAGGAAGCATTAGGGAGTAGGACGAGAGGAGTCTGTTTGTTTCTTAATCTTACATAATGGATGAGAACTAAATGTTTGTGTTTCAACTTTGATACCTTTCTTCACATTTTCTTCTCTGCTTAATGCAGCATCTTGTGAAAGCTACATGGAACTCCGTTTGTAGTACCTGTATTTAGAAAGTAACATTCTTTTCTGTGAAGCTCTCTGCTTCAAGGTTTATCCTTTTTTCTATAATTGGATTATTAAGGTTGAGATGTCCTTGGCATTTAAGAGGGCAGCTCCCACTACTCAACATACATACATGTTCCCACCCTCCCCCCGATTCCCAGAAATTGAAGGCATTGCTGTAGATTCCCCTTTGGCTCCTTGACCACATTCATTTTTGAGAACACAGAGCAAACTGAAACATTTCCAGATGATGTATTTCTCTCTGTACTCTGAAACATGGTAGGTAATTCAGAAACTTAGCACATTCTGATGTCAGTAACCTTTCTTCACTGATACTCAAAACTCAGATGGACTCCTCCCTCTCCCAGGGCCACAGGGAATCTCTGCTGGGGTGCCCGTAGCACCTCCTCCTGCTCTCCCCTCATGCAACCTTGCCACTGCTGCTGCCAGCACCTGGGCACCTGCATCTAGCGCAAAATTTAAAAAGTGAAATTAATGTAATCACATTGAAATTTTAAGTAAGGACATTGAAAAAGCAGAAAATACTGGGTTTCGAAGGTTTTGCACTGAAGGAGGCTTGGGTATGACAGTTGACTTCTCCTAGTTTGGGGAAGAAGCCCCCTGGACCATAAATGGCTTTAAAAGGCGGTTTCTTAGTAAATGTAGTTATCCATAGGGTAAATACTAAGGAAAAGGTTGGCTATAGTCCTATGAGGCAGTATGGATCAGCAAATTGGTACTTCAGCTTCTTCCTGCCAACCCAACTCACCTCAGTGATGAGGCAAGGGTGGCTGCTGCACGCCCTGGTCTCACCCACGCCTGGAGCTGAGGCTGTACGTGATCAAAGACAGCAAGAGAGCCACCAAATACCTGCAAAAGGATTGTAACCATCTCTATGCGCAAGTGGCATATGATCACTTTTTACAAAAGTATAGGTAGTTCTTGGATGAAAAGGAGATGAGGAAGATGAACTTGGGAATCGGTTCTTCCTCTAACGCTGTTTTTTATTTTTCTCAACAGTTTTGATGATGACATGAAACTACGGCTGGTGAAATTTGCAGATGATATGAACTTAGTAGCATGGTAAATAATAATGAACATAGTTTGTGCACTATGAATAGTCCTAGAAGTAGAATCTGATACCTGATTCTCTGTATATTTAAAGACTAATCGGAAGAATAAATTACATTATTCTCTTTGCTTTTTTTTTTCCTCAATATTTGACACTGGGAAAATTATTCCAACTGATTTGGAGGCTGAAATACTGAAAATCAAAAGATGAGTTGTTGTTTTGACTCTCATTTTTAATGTTAATGTGGAGCTGAATCCAACAATGCTATCTGAAATGTGGCAGCATTAACTCACATAAAATTGTCATTGATACTGATTGTAAAAGACAGAGCAGGAT